CCTCATTACAGATGGTTGTGAGCCATCATGTGGTTGCTGGGTTGCTGGGAATTGAACTCAGAAACTCTGGAAGAACAGCCAGTGTTCTTAACCTCTGAGCCATCTCTCCAGGCCTGCCCAGTTCTTTTTTAAGCTCCTTTTCTGAACACTTTTAAAGATGGCCAGACTTGACCTCCAGTGTTAAATTCTTTATTTCTTCCTCACACTTGCTGCTCTTTTCTCACTATTCTTCCATCCACCTCCCCTCTTCCTCAGTCTCTCCCAGTTGCTCAGAGCCCATTGCTTGCTCAGGTGCTGCTTGGCCCTGTCTCTCAACCTGTCTCTCACTGTATCCAGTTTTGTCGATCTGGCTCCTCAGAACACCCAGGGGTCTTTTGCAAAACATTGTGATTGCTGCTCCCCTGCCCAGAACAGTGCCACCTAACCATGTGGTTTTTCCCTCACTCAGTTCAGGCCCCTGTTCACATGTCACACTGTCAAGGAGGCCTCATAAGTGCTGAGGTAGAAGTGGAAGTGGTCCAGCAAGCTTGACTTTATGGGGATTTATATGCAGAAGAAATCCAGTGTGTTTCACAGTATGGAAAGGACTTGTGTTTAAAGAAAACATGCAATGACAAGATTATAACCCAAATGGGAAAATCTCAGTTTAGGAAATAGAATTATAGTTGAAGGCTTTCTTAGCCACAAAAAGATTTACATCATTCTTAATGAAAACGATGAATATGAAATTTTTAAGTGGCTCTACAGCTTTGGAAAGGATGGGAGAGGAAGAGAGTCCTCAGTGAGCTGTGTCACCTTTATTCATGAAACGCAGTTCCAACACTTGTGACAAAAGACATCATTCGTCTAGATTCAGCTGCCAGTGTACAAGTATGCAGGGTAGAAGAACGAGTTAGTATTGTTGCAGAGATCCGGCTAGCCACGTCTGCACAGGACATTAGTGCCAAACAGTCTGCTGTGTTGAGCATAGGGGTAGCTGTAACATGAGGGGCCGGCTTGTAGGGGTTTCCGTCCCACCCGGTACCCCACAGCCAGCAAGTCCCCCAAAAAATCAGTCTACATTAGGTTACAAACTGATTGGCCCATTAGCTCAGTCTTCTTGTTAACTAATTCTTACATCTTACAGTAACCCATAATTCTTGTCTGTGTTAGCCATGTGACTCAGTACCTTTCTCAGCATGGCAGGTCACATGTTGCTTCTTCTGTGATCTGGGCAGGAGTGGTGGAGGGAGCTTCCTGCTTCCCAGAATATTCCTGTTCTAACCGCCCCGCCTCTACTTCCTGTCTGGTTGACCCACCTATACTTCCTGCCTGGCCAATCAGCGTTTTATTAAAATACATGATTGACAGAATACAGATAATTCTCCCGCACCAGATAGCAAAGGATTGGGAGTTGGGGAAGTGCAAGGACAGTGGGGCAGGGGTGGTGCTCGTGTCAACAGCTGAGTCTTTCCAGAGCAGAGCAAGATTAGTAGAAGGGCTTGTAGGAAGGGCTGTCATGGAACAGGGATCTAAGCTGGATGATAATGGAAAGGAGCCCAAGTGTTTCTTGATAAATAAAGGAAAAAAATAAGATGAGTAGGTTGAAACAGTTGCTAAAATAGTAATATCATTGCAATGAGTCGTTAAAGTATTGGAGATGAAAACAGCCATGCTTGTAATTCAGGTTGGCGCCTTTAATATTTATCAACACTTTCAAATGTGGATTTTGTAGTTTTGAAATAAAACTAACTCAATAGCATTTAGAACAGAAGTAAAAGTAATCTCTTAAATGAAGTCATTGTAATATATTCCAACTGTGGTTCTTGTCTCTTTTTTCTTTTAATTATAAGGTATTATGACTCTGTCACCTTTCGATCAGATGAAGACTGCTTCCGTTATAGGGGGGATTAATGCAACAATTAAAAACAGCCCGCCTGCCATGTCTCAGTATATCACTGTGGGGTCCAGTCCCTTCACTGGATTCTTCTATGCTCTAGAGGTATGAGTTCCATCGTGAGTACAACTACTCTGAATTTTTTAACTTGCCTAAAAATTAGATATAATAGCATAACCTTAGAAAGATAAAGTTTAAAATTCTAAGCTTTTTACCTGAAGCTAAAATTAATCACAAGTTTCTTCTAAATTTTTTTATAATTAAAGAAATTATTGTGTATAGATGTGTTTGTGTGATATGTGTGTGAGAATCAGGACAATGCTTGGAAGTTTGTTCCTCTGCCTTGTAGCTGGCCAAGACGAGCTTCCAGTTCCCAGATGTACACTACTGCATCTGGCTTCTCTATGTGGATTCTGGGAATTGAACTCAGGTCATGAGGCTTATGCTGCATGTACTTTACCCACTGTGCCATGTCACCAGTCCAAGGTTCTTCTAAATTATTTAGATTAACTAAAAAGCCCTTAAAATCAAGGTAAAGCATTGGGGTGTACTTCAGTTGGTAGACTACTTGCTTACCTTGCCTGAAGCCGGAGTTTGATCTTCAGCAACAAGTAGGGGGCGTGGTAGTGCACTTCTGTAATTCGGAGGTAGAAGATCAGAAATTCAAGGTCATTCTCTGCTACTTAACAAGTTTGAAGCTAGCCTGGGCTACAGGAGACCTTGCTCTCAGCCTCCCACAATCTGTGTGTGTGCGCGTGCGTGCGTGTCTGTGTGTGAAAAACAAAAATCCGAGGTAAAACCAATAATTTTTTTGTCTTGATAGTCCTAAGTTTTTTGCCAGCTACCTTTTGTTTAAATATTGGTGGAGCTGCGGATTGTTAATTATGTCTACCCACCAGGAATTAGGATAAATGAACTGCGAGACAGAGCAGGCTCCTGTTACAGTTGATATAAGCTTTGAAAATTGGTTCTTAAAATAGAGAAAAGTTCATTGTTACATTTGGCAGCACTTGTCACTTAAAAAGTAGCCTTCTCTGGGTGGGCTGAACTATCTTTTTACTTTTATACAAATATATATTTACTTTTTTTAAAAAAAGGAAGGGGAAAAGCTAATTGTGTGTGCGTTGTCTTGCTGGCCTCTTTGCTTTTCATTAAGTGCAGTTTAAAGGGAGAAATCCTAAAGGCTGGTTCCAGGCCAGCTGCAGCCAGCACTACAGGAAGCCCTTGCTTCAGGCAGTGTGTTAGTTTGCTTTGCTGAGGCCAAAATACTTGTGGAGCACTTTGGGCCACTAGTGGGTTTACCTCTACATCCTGGCCTTGCTCAGTCCTGTTGCTGCTCCTGAGGCTGATGCCTCCTAAAAGAGCTGCTGCCATAGACTTTGCAACTTGCATTTTTTTGTAAGGCTCCTTCAGAAGTCAGGCTCCCTCTCAGTTTTCTCCGCATGCCTGTTTTGCAGGGAAGCACTCAGCCGCTGTTATCTCACGTTGCGCTCGCAGTTGCAAGTAAACTGACTTCTGCTCTCTTTAGTGCTGCCAGGTAATGAAGCTGCATTTTAACTGCTCAGGTTTGGGTCTGCCTTGGTTGTGCCTAGACTTTGGACTAGTGTCTGCTAGTTTATTTGTTTTGTCTCCTCTCCTTTTAGTGGTTGGCTTGGTTGGAAAAGCAAGCATGAAGAAGAGACCGTTCAGAAGCAGAAGCCCAAGATGGAGCCAGCTACTCCCTTAGCTGTGAGGCAAGTCAGCTGGTTCTCTCCTCCAGTGCTTCAAGCAGCACTTGGGGCTATAGTTGATTTCCTGATTCCCTGACTCAGCTGTCTTCTGAGAATTACTCCTCATGGGGAATTCTTTTTCAACCAGAACAGGAGTTCCTTGAAGAGAATAACTCTTGCCTGTTTACTCTAGAGCATAGCCGTGTGTCTGTGACTAGTGGGTGTGTTGTTACTTTCCTCTAGAATAAGCAGTGCATCTGTGACTAGTGGATGTCTTGTTGTTACTTTAATTTTTGGGAAGAGAGGGCTTGATTTTGGCTTTCTTTTTAATTGTTGCTTATTACCTAATAGAAAATACCACTATAAAAGTAATACTGAAGCTCCTCTTTATAAAGTTGTTCTTCACCTGGAGGAAGCTGACTAGTTAGCTGTTAGTAAAATCAATTTTTTGAGGTTTGTAGGTTTGCATTCATTACTCTCTAAACAAAAAGGTTATAAAGTCGCTTTTCTTTTTGATAGTCCTGGTCTACAGAGTGAGTTCCAGAACAGGCTCCAAAGCTACACAGAGAAGCCCTGTCTCGAAAAACACACACACACACATAAAGATATAGATATAGTCTATTTTATTTGTGAATTTTGTTATTTTAAATTTCTAACTTTGAGTGTGATTTTAGGTTTTGTTTTTTTATTTTTTATTGACAGATTTGGACTTCCAGATTCTAGACGCCATGGAGAAAGCATATGCCTGTCTCCTTGTAACACCCTGGCAGCAGTCACAGATGATTTTGGCAGAGTTATCTTGTTGGACGTCGCTCGAGGAATTGCAATACGGATGTGGAAAGGTACTTCCCTACAACAGTGGAGGGAAAGTTGCCTCAATCTTACCCCAATAGTTGAGCAACTTTATCGCCTTCACCTTGGTTAGTAACAGTATTTAGGACTCTGTGGCTTTTCTTTTTAATGTCAGCTCAGGTCAACAACACTTGGCTGGCACTTAATTGGAACATCATCAATTAAATCAGTGGCTTTTATCTGGTTTGTTTGGGTCTGTTGTTTGTGGTCTAGGTTTTGGACCCAGGACCCTGCATAGGCTCCCACTGACTATACTCCAACTCATCATAGGCACTTTTAACTGTAGCTGGTTCTTTTATTTTTACTCTTTGGGAGTCCCCCCCACCTCCCTTAGCTTGGCTTGTTTCTAGTCAGCTTTTCTAATTTAAATATTTCTGTTTCTCTTTAACTAAGTTTTGCCTCTGGGCTTTTTACCTTTCTTTATTCTGTATGTCTTTCTTTCCTTCCTACTCTGTGGCTGGCTGGGTTCCTGGCCCCTGGCATCCTCTCCTCCCTTTCTTGCTCCTCACTTTTATCTAGATTTCTCCTATTTATTCTCTGCCCACCAGCCCCCCATTCCTCTTTTCTGCCTGGCTGATGACCATTCAGCTCTTTTTTAGACCATCAGGTGTTTTAGGCAGGCACAGTAGCACAGCTTTACAGAGCTAAACAAATGCAGCAGAAAAGCATGCAACACATCTTTGCATCATTAAACAACTGAATGAGACACATCTTAAACTAGTATTCCACAACATTTAACCTCTTCCTCCTGCACCCACTTTCAGTTCTGTCATTGCCAGTTTCTTGTCCCTGCCACATTCCTTTCGCTTTATAAGGCCACTGTTGCTGCTGACATTGTTGCCTCATTTTGCAGCCACTTCAGTCGCGTGTCCTTCCCAGGTGTGTTAGTTATAAGAGGATCACCCCAAACAAGACAGTGTCAGCTCTTAGCGTTTTCTTCATGCTGCTCTGCCATCTGCTTTCCGTCTTCTGTCCCGCCACGGAGCTTGGGCAGCAGGAGGACTGCTGGTATTTTAACTGACCAAACTAGTACTCTCCCAGGTTTTTTTTTTTGTTTTTTTTTTTCTCAAAGTTTATTAAAATACAAAAGTCTCCATTTCTGCCCCTCCTCCCAACCCCCTCCCACTCCCCCCACTCCCTCCCCTCCTCCCTCTCCATCCCCAAGAGCAGTCAGGGTCTCCCGCCCTGTGGGTAGTTCAAGCTCCTCCCCCCTCCCTCCAGGTCCAGGAAGGTGAGCATCCAAACAGACTGGATCCCAGAAATCCAGTATATGCAGAGGAAACAAGTCCCAGTGTCGTTGTCAATGGCTTTTCAGAAAGATTCCGGGCCAGCCACATTCAGAGAATCCGGCCTCATACAGAGAATCTGGCTGGATCACGTGCTCGCTCAGTCCCAGTCAACTGGCCTTGGTGAACTCTCATTAGATCGGTCTCCTTGTATCAGTGGGTGATCGCACCCCTCGCGGTCCTGATTTCCTTTTTCATGTTCTTCCTCCTTCTGCTCCTCATTTGGACCTTGGGGGACTCCGTCCGGTGCTCCAATGTGGGTCTCCGTCTGTATCGCCATCCATCGTCGGATGAAGGTTCCCTCTGATCTTGCCTTCCTTGCTCACGTTCTCTTTCCTTCTGCTTCTCGTTTGGACCTAGGGAGTTAAGTCCAGTGTTCCAATGTGGGTCTCCGTCTCCATCTCCATCCATCGCCAGATGAAGGATCTATGGTGATAAGCAAAATATTCATCAGTATGGTTATGGGCCAAGGCCAGTTCAGGCACCCTCTCCTCTGTCCAGAGAACAATCTGGGGATCTCTCCTTGGACCTGGCATCCCATTTATAATCAAGTCTCTAGTAAACCCCAAACTTACTCCCTTAGTTGAGATATATTCTTCCCTGATCCCATATCTATCCTTCCTCCCTACCCCCCTCCCAGTCCCCCGAGCATTCCCCATTCCTCCCCTGCTCCGAAGAAGTCTTTCAAAGAGAGGGAAGAGAGGGAGTGGGAGCCAAAGCAGGGATAGACTCAAGAAGCTTTGGTGATGTCTGCAATATTTTCTTTTTAAAGAGAAGAGTGATCTGAAGCAGATACAAATGGTGAAATATTAAAATCTGATGTTTTGGTGAGAGGTTATTACATTTTCTTATCTTTTCAGTTTAAGATCTCTAATGATAGAAAGTTGATATACTTCTCTGGCTTGTCTTCCCCCTAAATAGTCAGAACTGCATGAGGAGCTACTGTTGAGCCCAGATGAGTAAACTGACTAGCGACCCCTCTCTGTTTACAAGGGTACCGAGATGCACAGATTGGATGGATTCAAATTGTAGAGGACCTCCATGAACGAGTACCAGAAAAGGGGGAGTTTTCCCCCTTTGGAAATACTCAAGGTCCCAGTCGAGTAGCTCAGTTCCTTGTGATCTATGCGCCACGAAGGGGAATTTTGGAAGTGTGGAACACACAGCAAGGACCAAGGGTGGGAGCTTTCAACGTGGGCAAGCACTGCAGGTAAGCTGCTCTAACCATTTGTCTTTTGCTTATGTTGTGAAGTATAAAGAGAGACTGCTCATTCGTTTCCCAGCCGCTCAAACCCAAATAATCACACAGAAGCTATATTAATTACAACACTGCTTGGCCAACAGCTTAGGCATATTCCTAGCTAACTCTTATATCTTAAATCAACCCATTTCTATTAATCTGTATATTGCCACGAGACTGTGACTTACTGGAAAGGTTCAGGGTGGCTGTCTCCTTTGGCAGCTACATGGCATCTCCCTGACTCTGCCTACTCTCTCGATATATATCTCTTCCAGCCTGGCTATATTCTGCCCTGCCATAGGCCAAAGCAGCTTTATTTACTAACCAATAAAAGCAACACATATACAGAAGGAATTTCCACATCAGTGAAGACCCCAAAGGAAAAGCCCAGCAGTTTCCCAGTGATGATGCTGAGCAAGGCCCATGCTTTATTTGCTATTGGGCTGCAGACTGAGTGTGTTTGTACAGTTTCCTAGAAGCTTTGAAGGAAGTAGACCTCTCCATCTGAGGTAGTTCTGCCTTGCCCAGCAGATACCCCAAAGTTCATGAAGCTTAGGTGCAGTCAGAGCACCTGTGGAATTTTCGCTGTCTGCTGACAATAATCTCCCACTGGTATGTGATTGCCTTAGGCTGCTGTATCCTGGCTACAAAATAATGGGCTTAAACAACGTGACAAGTCAGAGTTGGCAGCCTCAGACTTACCAGATCTGTCTTGTTGACCCGGTGTCTGCAAGTGTAAAAACGGTGAATGTGCCTTTCCATTTAGCACTGAGGTAAGAGTGGCTTTGTGTCTGCTGTGACTCTCCTGTGCACAACTTGCATAGTTCTTTACCTTGGGGTGTTTGCTTGCTTGTTTTATAGTTAATGTTTTGTGGTTTATTTTATCACTAGATGATCCCTTTGAGGTTAAATAGGAAGCATATCAACTACAACAATACAAATGCCTGAGCTGGATTGCATCAGGATTAGAAAGAACACAAATGCATATTGTATGATGAGTTGTGTTTATTATTTTAGTGATAAGAAGAGTGAAAGAGCCAAGGACCTGCACTTGGTGAAGAAACTGGCAGCCCTGCTAAAGTCAAAGTCACCCGGACCTGGTAGGTGCCTCTGAGTGCAGCAAAGCTCTGGACTGTCCGAGCTGTCTGCACTCTTCCAGGGTGAGGAGGGACGTGACATCTTCTCTCAGTGCTTGGAGAGGGCAGTGGCTCTCAACCTTCCTAATGCTGCAACCCTTTAATACAGCTCCTCATGTGTGGTGACCCTCAATCAAAAAATTATTTTCATTACTACCGCATAACTGTAATTTCGATATATAATGTAAATACCTGATATGCGACCCCTGTGAAAGGGTCATGCCATTTCTCAAAGGGGTCATGATCCACAGATTGAGAACTGCTGATAGTAGGTTGATTAAAACTTCTCAGTAAAATGATAATGTGAGGGAACTTGTGGCATGATTAAAAAGATGCCAGCCGCAGGCTCTTACCTCTCCCTCAGTCTGAAATGGTGATCCTGCCTCCAGGAATCTTCAGAATGAGACAGTGAAGATCCTGTCTCCTGTTTTATATTCCTCTCTAGGGATGGGATTAAAGGCATACAACACTCCTTCCTGGTTTCTATTGAAACTAGTGTGGCTACTGGGATTGAAGGTTTGTGTCACCACTAACCAGTGGGGCTGTTTTACTCTCTGATCTTCAGACAAGCTTTATTTATTAAAATACAAATAAAATATCACTACAGGAACCTGTGAATCCTTTAGAATGGCAGAGAGTGCATTAGCTCATTTTCTTTCATAAACATCTTTCTTTACTAAATTGAAAATTCCAATCTGATTTTCTCTTTATAGATTCATTTGAAACGGAAATAAAGGAGTTGATCCTTGATATTAAGTACCCTGCAACCAAGAGACAAGTAAGTGTATATAGTAAATGAAATTTCCTTTTGAGAAACTGATGTATCACTTGATCCTGAGAAAAATTTATTTTCATATCCCCCATGTAGGAATGTCTTTTGTCTCTTTTTGAAAAAAAAAATCTTAACATATGTGATTCCATGTGCTTTATACACACACACCCATGCATAAATCTGAAATAATGGAAGCATAATAACATAAATACAGATGTGCACCTTAAGAAATAGAAGCTTACACAAACTCTGAAGAGTATCCCTCTCAGTCCATGATGAACTTTGTATTCCTCTTTCTAATACTCCGTGCAGCTTCTCCAGAGCGTCTTGCTGTGTTTTCAGCTTTTTGTAGTTGGAGACATGTTGTCTGTTGTGTTCTGTGACTTGTTTTAGTGTGTTGTGTGAGCGACCCATGCTGAGGGGAGCTGCAGTTGCCACCTTCTAATATGTGTGCCGCAGCTCATGTCTCCTGCCGTAGAACCAACCATTCAGGTTGCTTCTAGTTTCTTAGTGAAACCACACTGCATGGTTTTCCCTGTGCGTGTTTCCTGTACACGCGCTGCAGGGTTGTCCTGAGCTTGCACTGGAGAGTGGGACTGCCAGGCTGTGCATTTCCTCAGCCTGCTAGGAGGTGACAGACTGCTTCTCCTAACTGCACTGTTCCTGGCGGGTCCTGTGCATCACCACCTCAGCTTTTCACATGTTGCCAGGCTCGCTGTTGAAATTCAGGTCAGTTTTGACTTTATTGACCTGAAGGGCCCAAGCCCGTAAAACTTTGCCCCACTTTTAAGTGCCAGTCACAACTAGTAGATTGTTATGCCTATAAATTATGTGTGACCTGTCTTTTGCTTTGTTTGCTAAGGTGACTCCCAGAACTCAGGGAAATTCTTGTATTTATATGTCAAAACAGATATTATAAAGAATACTGATAACTAGCTAGGTGCACAGGGCAGTGTTTGTGGAGAAGGGGTGTGGCCTCCCTGTCCCCTCTAGGAGTCTGCATGTTACAAAGCCTTAGCACAATAAGAAGTTCTGGAACCTCTATCCTTGAAGAATTTATGGAGGTTTCATTACTTGGACATGATTGATTGTATCATTGGCTATTATTGGTCAACTTATTTTTAAGTGCTTCTCCCCAGAGGTTAGGAGTGGGGCTATAAATTATAGTTCTCTAATCTCCTAGCTGGTTGCCATGGTAACTAGCCCCATCGTGAGACTGCCAGAGACTGCCTCACTAAAGCAGAAGGTATTTGTGTTCTCTCCTACGGAGCTACAAAGGTATCAGGAGTTCTGTGTCAGGAATCTGGGGGCAAGCAGTGAGTTACAACAGAACATTCTCCCAGCTTCTCTGTCTATAAGGGTTCAGCACACCTGTTCCAGGAGCAGGGGGCATGACCAGTATTTAGAACAGATTCTTCTAGCCCCTGCCACTCAGGAAATTGCTGTTAGAAATTAGAGGGGAGCGATATGCCAGAGACCACGGGCAGAGACCAGTGTGTATATTATCTCACTACATGTGTGGGAGAAACTGGGGAGGAGTGATTTCTGTTGGAGTCATTTAAAAATGCTCTTTGTTTTATTGTAGAGCAAGAAAGTCTCTGATTTTTACTATTAATTTCCCATTCCACCGAGCACTTTGGTTTTCATTTTCCTCAGGACACACACCTCAGTTATTGAACATGGCGCTGTGATGACAAAGTAGCTGTCTGAGAGGATTTAGTGAACCAAATAGAGAAAGATGTACCCAGAGTTCTCTCTGTGATGCCATCATCCTTACCATCCATCACAGAGCTGGGACGATGGTAGGGCACTTGTCTTCTGAAGGAGTCTCTTTCTCTCCCATTAAGTCATACAGAAAAGCTTGAATCTTATGTAAAATGCTAGAAAAATCAAAATTTCTGTCGCCTTCCAATACTAGAGGAAAGGCAGAGTCCAGTAAAGACTTTAGGAAACTGAGTCCAGTAATGGGGAGAAAGTGTGCTTGCCCACCAGCCTGCCTTGTTGACAGGATGGAAGAGGCTCGCAATTACCCTGGGTACTGGTCTGTTCTGTACTATGGGTGGCTGCCTCATACGCCCATTTCACCCCCTCACACAGAAGTCATTGTGCTCTGAGACTGATATTAGTCTCCCTTATTTATTTTTGGACAGGGTCTTACTATTTAGCTCTGGCTTACACAGAACTGACAGATATCCGCCTATCTCTACCTTCCAAATGCTCGGAGTCCTATGCCCTACCACAGCCAACTTAAGGTTAGGGTTTTTAAACCATGTGTCTCGTTAGTTAATGTCTAATTTAATATGCTAATATAAGAGGATAAGTATGAACTTTAACTGTTCCCGACTCCTTGATAAGGCATTTAAAACCTGTGGATGAAGATGTTTAAACATCTGGATGGGTTGAGAGTGGAGAGGGTCGAGTGGGTGCTATGTCTAGCTAGCCGTGGCGGAAGAGGCAGTCTTCCATGTACACATGCAGCAAGCGGTCATGAAGTCGTCAACTGTTATAACGACATGCCAGCTTCTCATTCATTCCTGGCGGAGGCCAGTTCAGACTTTCCGTTGGAGAATAGCTGTCCTCTCCATGTTGTGGGGCCACTGTGTGAGCCAGCAGTTGCCCTCTGTTTCGTTCTCAGTCTGGGCAGAGGATTACTTACAGACTCCTGTTGATGTGACTTGAATTTTCAAGTTGATGTGACTTGAATTTTCAAGTGTATGCATTGAATTGTGGATTACAGAGATCTAGGTCTGTATATAAAATGAAAGCAAGTTTGTTGCTGTATAATCACTAGAATTACTCACTCTTTCTCCTAGGCTCTGGAAAGCATTTTGGCCAGTGAGCGTTTATCATTTTCCTGCCTTAGAAACGTTACTCAGACTTTAATGGACACTTTAAAAAATCAAGGTAATCGATATTGTTATGGCTTCACTTCAGATTGTATATTTCTTTGTGGGACATGTGATGCTCTCACATGTTATAGAGATGACTGGAAGGAGGAAAGGCAGGTGGACATAAAATAGGGTACTTACTCCATATATTCGGTTACAACTTGGGAACTTGAAAAGATTTCCCTTCTAATAGTCACACTTGATTTTCAGCTGAACTGTCTCAATATATTAACTGTTTTTAAGAAGTTTTTTGTCCATGTTTGCATGTATCAAGTTCTTAAATAAATAATAAAAGTGATGTTTTAAGTATTAAAAAATAAAATTGTGAGCCAAAGAATTAAATTAATTAACAATATAAAAATTTTAAAAGAATGATGAGACACTATTATTTTGACAGGGTTACACAACATTGTGAAAGCCATTGGGATGAGGGTGTTGAGCTGATGGTGTGTAAAACCCAAGTAGTGTGGTGCACGTCTTTAATCTCAGCTCTCAGGATACAGAGGGAGATGTGTCTCTGAGTCCAAAGGCCAGCCAGGGTTGCACAGGAGACCCAATCTTATAAACAACAACAAAACCCAAGCAGGTTCTTTTGTTGGCTTTGGCTTTTGCCTTGCCTCCTAGAAAAAGAATGGGATGAAGTTGAGTATTGACACGTCTCTTTAAATAGAAGCGCCACAGGCTGGGCGGTGGTGCTGCACTTTAATCCCAGTACTTGGAGGCAGAGGCAGGCAGATCTCAGAGTTCAAGGCCAGCCTGGTCTACAGCGAGTTCTAGGGTTCTAGGATAGTCAGGGCTACACAGAGAAACCCTATCTCAAACACACACACATGTGCATGCCAGACACACAAAAACACGCACACACAAAGTGCCACTCAAAGATTTCCTACTCTTGTTCTGTCCCTCTTCTCCCCTTATTAGAAAACGTTATTTCACTTGAAAGTTAGATTTGTTGCTTACTGTAATGGGAAATTATCTATGCTTTCAAAAATCTATGATAGGTTAATATCAGTATTTAACTCACTAAGGAATTATATATTTAGAGATCATGACATTGTTTTTATGAGTCTGTTACATATATCTGGTATGTTTCCTCTCCTGTAGAGCTCGAATCTGTGGATGAAGGACTGTTGCAGTTTTGTGCCAACCAGCTGAGCTTACTGCATCTTTACGAATCTGTCAGCCAGTTAAATTCTGTTGATTTTCACTCAGACACACCGTTCTCTGATAATGTGAGTAACCACAAATGTTAGTATTGTACACAATCATCCTTTTGAGTATTTTCAATTCTTAAACTTTTTTTGAATAAAAAGTATAAAATTAAAGGTTTAGATTTGTTGTTTTTAAGAACTTAAAGGTATATTTTTTTCTATCAGGTCTCTTTTCTATTTCTTGATGCTTAGTTTATATTACTAAATTTATATTTTGTAAAAATACAAAACTATTAAATCTCATTGTTAATTCATCTTAACTCTTAGACTCCTTAAATTTTTCTTGACACATTTTTAAGGTGATGTCTTAGTCACTGTCCTGTTCTTTGAAGAGAAACCATCGCTAAGGCAACTCTTATAAAAGAAAATATTTAATTAGGGGCTTGGTTTACCGTTTCAGAGGGTTAGTTAGCCCATCTTTATCATGGTGGGCTGCATACAGGCAGTTGTGGGAATGAGAGCTTGCTTACTGATCCACAGGCTACAGGCAGAGAGGGAGACTGGGCCAGGCTGGGCTTTTGAAACCTCAAAGGCCACCTCCAGAAGCACACCTTCTTCAACAGGGCCACACCTCCTAGTCCTCCCCATTAGTCACCAATTGAAAACCAAGAATTCAAATCTGTGAGTCTATGGGGCCATTCCCACTCATGCCACCACAGGTGACTTTTAAAAAGATGTTTTGAAAAAGCGCTGGAGAGCTTTTCCACGTCAGATGAATCCCAGTCCTTAGCCCAGCCGTGCCACTGCAAGAGTCTGCTCTTCCCAAGGAGGGGGGGGGTCACTTTCGGGCCCCCTGCTTCTCCTCAGCCCTCTGCTGGGGAAGGACCTCTTTCCTATAGACTTGCAGCCTGGTTCTCAGTGAGGGCCACACAGATAGAATTCTGGTGATTCTGTGTGCTGGTGCATCCCCTGGTGACTTAAAGGGATCTTGTCAGGGGCACTGTGAGTGGTGGGCACCTCAGTGAAGTGGGTAGGTTGGAGAGAATGCTAAATCTTTTCGTTTTTATGGAATGGTATTTTCTCTTTGTAATTAGTTTAATTAACCTTTTGGTTGTTTGCGCAATATTATATATTTTAAATTATAATGCATCTCCCCCGGAGTATTTTGTAGCTGGGATAAGAAAAAAAAGAAAAAAATTCTAACAGCTTTTAGTTTTGTAATTAAAAAGAAACAAAAAACAAAGTTTGTCCTGAACCTTTTACAGATTTGTCATATCAGCATTAAAGTGATTGAACAGAAAAAAAGGTATTTTTGAAAAACTTAATAATAAAAATATTTTCAGTTTCCTGTTGTGACAAAACTGTAACTTCTCTTGACTTTTCATATTATTACTGTCCGTTTGCCTGTGAATGTGGTGTGGTGGGCGGAGTTCAACTGTAACTGGAGTTGCTTCTCTCCGTCCTGCACGCGTTCCAGAGGCTGGGCGCAGACCGTCAGGCTGGTGGGGCAAGCGCTTCCAGTTGCTGAGCTGTCTCACTGGCCATGTTTTAAAGAAAACAGAAGAAAGATTCTGCCAAGCTGGGCAGTGGTGGCACACACCTTTAATTCCAGCACTTGGGAGGAAGCAGAACTAGGCAGATCTCTGAGTTCAAGGCCAGCCTGGTCTACAGAGGGAGTTCTAGCCAATCAGGGCTACACAAAGAAACCCTGTCTCGAAAAACCAGGGAAAATTAAAAAAGAAAGATTCTGCCAAACGAGAGGTCAGTTTTTCTTCATTGTTAGTTAATTAATGCTGCTTGCTCTTTTGTGACTTATACACTGAAATAAAATTCTAAAATAGTCTATCTCCTATCAAAGTGTTAAAGACAACTGTACTAAATATTGTCTGAGTTGTGTAAGACATCAAGTAGTGACAGTCTCTTTCAGTCTTCAGTACAGTGCAGTAGTTGCTCTAAGAAATGCATTCAGAGTTTCCCTGAATGGAAACTAGAGAGATAGAGTGTCTGTCTTCCTCTCAGATAACTGTTCCCTAGTGTAGGTTGCCCAGCCTGGAAGCCCTATGGCTTCTGCTTATCCAAGGCAGGTTTAGTAAAATGATTTTATTGATTTTTCAAGTTACCAATAATACTTATTTAAAAATTAGCCTGTCTTATTGAAAGTTAAGTTTATATATACAACTATGTAAATAATTTTAAACTGAAGAATGAAAGAGTACATTCTGATATCTTCTGGTTTTGGGGATTTTAGATTTTAACATTTTAGTAAAACATTCATAGTGATGTTCTCTAATTACCATTAAAAATAATGAAACCAGTTCTTTAGGATTAGACCATCTACTGCAGCAATTGTAAACATCAGGAACATGCAAGTTGACGAGGGAGGCTTACAGGAAGAATTGCCTGCACAGTTCTTAGGTTCTTGTCATCAAGAGCAAATGCTCTTGCATGTGCCCGGTGAAAATGAATAACCATGCATGGTGTTACTGTCCTGGAGCTTCAGCTGCTTGGAGGGCTGAGAGAACACCAAAATTCCAGATATAAAGGCATCATAATTAAACACCATCTCAAAAAGACCAAAATAAAGCTAAATGTGTATGATTGTGGTTTCAATTGTGTAACACTGAGCAAAAGGCTTTCCTCACTATGGCAGATTTACAGGGTTTTCAAAAAAAAATGATGATATCATGTAGTGTGTCTTTATATGTCCTGTGTGAATTGGTTTGAAAGACTGGCCAGTTCTAGTTGAGTTGTGACATCTTTGTGGCCCTGGTTACAAAGAGGACCTGTGAGCAAAGGTGCTGCGGATCGTACCAGTCATGTTGCACAGAGACATGCAGCCACATGGAAAGCGAAGTTATACTTTACATACTTTGATTATTTTCTATTTTATAATACATATTTATTAGGGCCCTAACTTTTAGAAGAGTATATAGTACTCTAAAGAAATCCTGAAAATGGCATTCTTAGTAGTAGTTTTTCAAGGTTAGCTTACTTGTATAACATCATATTCATGAAATATCATTTAAAACTAATATTTAAAACAATACATTACCTTTGTTATATTTCATACTAATTTTTAAAGTCACTGTTGCTCAACTACCTTAGCTCTCAGATACAATAAGGGGCTAGCTTTTGTAGCAGTTCATACAGACATGGCCTACTCTTGCTGTTAAAGGATTTGGCTGTGTTGCTAAGACTGGACGATAAGGAACTCGTGAAGCTCCGGGCCTTATTAGAGAAGTACAAACAAGAAAACACCAAGACCACTGTCCGGTTTTCTGAAGATGCAGATGGAGTGCTTCCTGTCAAGACCTTCCTCGAATATCTAGAGTATGAGAAGGATGTGCTGAGCATAAAGAAGATAAGCGAAGAGGAGTATGTGGCTCTAGGTAGGTAACCTCCTGTAATCTGCTCCGAAGTCCTAGTGCAAGTGCACAGCAACTTGGTGTTTGCTTTTGTTTGAAATGCAATGACCAAATGGTTCAAAGTATATATTTTTGTGGTCAGCAATGTATTCTGGGTACCCACATACCATGGCACACAGTTTAATTGTGTTAATAAGCCTTATACTAAGGAAGTATTGGGGCTGAAGAGATGGCTCAGTCAGTAAAGTGATTGTCGTGCAAACTTAGGGACCATAGTTTGAATCACAGCACCTATGTAAAAGGCTAGGCATGTGGCATCTACCTATAATCCTATCCCTGGAGAGACATAGAGAAGAGGATTCCAAGGATTCTCTGGTCATCTCATCTTGCCTAGCTAGTGAACTGCATGTCCAGTGAGCAATCTATTTCAGAAAAAGTGGGAAGCATTTGAAGAGACCTCCGACATTGACCCCTAGCCTCCACCCATACACATGCATGTACAATGCACACAAGAGACAGTTTTAAGGCATAATGATTTGCCTTCTGTTCTCCTAAATTAATTAATTAAATTAATTCAGACATTAAGTTCTTTTCTTTTGGTGTTGAGACCTATAATCCCAGCACTTGGAAGGCAGAGACAAAGGGGTCTCTGAGAGTTTGAAGCTGGCCTGGTCTCCGTGGTGATTTCCAAGGGCTATGTAGAGAGAACCCCTGGCAAACAAAACAAAACACCAACAAATTGTTTTCTTTCATGCTGTTCTCCGATTCCAGTTTGCACTTAAGTAAGATTATTAATCTGAACATCCATTGTCGGTAACATGCTTGTTTGTCTCGCTAGGCAGTTTCTTTTTTTGGAAGTGTTTGCATGGAGAAAGCTCCACGGAGGATATGTGTCACACTCTGGAGTCTGCCGGACTTAGTCCTCAGCAGTTACTGGTAAGGGTTTCTTACTGAATCCTCTGCAAAAGTTACATAGACATGTTAAGTTTCAAATCATTATCTTTAGCATGTCAAGAACATACGTAAAAAACCTGAAATGATCAAAGAAAATTGTAATTTCCATTTTAAGATTATATTATCATAAATTTTCGGCCTTAAATAAATATAGAACTTAACAGGTAAATTTATTTACAGTAGATTTTGTTCATCAGTTGTTACATTAGAAAGAAAGAGATCTTAAAAAACAAACTTCTCTAAAATGTGTATAATATTGTCAATGTTTTCCAGCTTTAAATATTGGAGGATAGAATCTTTACACAGGTGTGAAACAGAGGAGTCATCCAATGAGAAAACTAAAATACAAAGAGGAAGGAAGTTACCCATCATCCTCAGCGCTCCTTCCTTACTGCCTCCTGCTCATGCACACATTCAAACAGCACACAGCTCAGGTTTTAGCCAGCATTTGGACATCCTACCCCTGTGAACTTACTCATTATGTTCGTGTGGACTTTTATTGAACATTTATAAGTCCTTTAAAGATGGGTTCTTTCTGCTAGTCTGTGAAAGCATACACCTCAGGAAATAAGACAGTGAAAATTACACATGCATATCAGTAAGCAAATGTGTTTTAGTAAGTGAAGTTTTAAGCACTTTATATATCTTTATTGTGTACTTTGCAATAATAAAAACAGTGAACCATTGAGAAACACATTGTAACTTTTTCTTAAGGAAAATATAGGAAGTGGAAAAAGGTCAATTTTAAAGATACAAACTAGCCAGGCAGTAGTGGCACACACCTTTAATCCAAGCATTTGGGAGGCAGAGGCAGGCCAATCTCTGAATTTGAGGCCAGTCTGGTCTACAAGAACTAGTTCCTGGACAGTTTAGGACAAAGAGAAACATTGTCTCAGAAAACAAGCAAACAAAAGATACAAGCTGGGGTTTCTGTGTAACCTTTGTGAAATAGCATAATGACCAGGGCTCTTGTTCTGATACTTTGTTCTCTTGCTTGTAGTGATGACTGATCAGAACTATTCACACTCTAAAACTGCATGATAAGGCTCCCACCCACACACGTCAAGACAGAAGCAAGCAAATCTCTGAGTTTGAGGCCAGCTTGGTCTACAAAGTGAGGTTCAAAACAGCCAGGACTACACTGTCTGTCTTGGAAAACAAAACAGAACAGAACAAAATTGCATACACACATACACAAATACATGCATTGTAACAAATGAAACCTGAGCAGATTTTGCCAATGTTAGTTTCTTGGTTTTGATTTTGGGTAAGATATTAACATTAAGGGACATGATAGGAAGGGTTTCTAAGACATCACTATATCTGCCTATCTGCTTTTCTTCCCCTTTTTACATGTGCATGTTGGTTATAAATAATGGTTGTGTGAAGTTGGGGGTAGTCTAAAGCAGAGGGGAGACCCTTGATACTCAGGGTAAGACATTTTTAGGGATTCAGCAGTGTGCTGGGTCACCAATGGTAGAAGTACCATGCTAGAATATGATTTTAGTTCTGTAAGCCCTGCCATCATATCAGCCAGTGACAGAAGAGTGGGTGGTTTATGCGGCTGTTAGCATTTTGCTTTATGAGCATGAGGAGAATGAGGGCAGAGTTGGAGTTTTTGTATAGTTTTTGTATAGTTCTTGTATAGGCTAAGCTAGGAAGGAGCTGAATGGGAAAGAAAGGCAGAGAAATTGATTTCACCATTAAAGAGAGAAAGCAAGTGAGTGATTTCATATATGTAAAAGTTACATACATATGCAGATTTAAACCTTTTTAAAGAAAGAAATGAGAATATCTGAGTTAGTTATAGTTCTAACTCTGTAGGGACTCTGTCCACTGTTTCTGAAATGTGTGTGGCTGTTCCTGCTACAGGGGTTGTTAAGTCAAATGAGGTAATATAATGCCAGCCGCTGTATGTAGTTCCTAGTCCTGAGTCATCTCATGTCATGTGTAAGCTCCTCTCCTTCACAAGGCACCTTCAGCTCCTCGACCTCCCTTTCTGGACATACTGTGAATACATTTAAACCAACAGCTTTTAGAGCTTTTCCCACATAATAGTACTGCAATTTTATAAGTAGCCAAGGTGCTGCATAGAAACCAGCGCTCACAGAGGTGACACTGTTCTCTTCAAATTTTCATAAAATAAGCTGCACAAACCTTAAAGTGGTTTTGTTTACAGTGTGTATTTCAGAACTTGTTAGGAATTCTAGAATAGGAATTTGATGGCTTATACTTGTTCCCCTCCACTGTGTCCCTGTGTTTTTGGTCAAAGCAAGAACAACAACCCCCCCCCCATGTCTCCTTTCAGAACCTGCATCTGGCACTTTACGCAGTAGGCGAATGTCACACTGGTTCCTTCCTGGCAGTGTTCTCCTTAACTGTGGCTTAGATTAGAAGACAGAGTATGTAACCTAAGAGAGGTGCCCAGCAAATGCCAAGAATCTCTAAGGTAGACAGTGTACCTCAGTGTGATCCCACATTGTATGATAGAGCAAGCACCCAGCCAGCTAGCTGCGTCAGCGTGTACAGATGCACATGGTAGGAAACTGTAAAATCTCCCCTTTGTTAAATATTGTTTAGGCTAAAAGATATTTTAATTTTATTTTAGTCTCTACTCCTAAGTGTTTGGCTTTCGAAGGAAAAAGATATTTTGGACAAACCACAGTCTGTCTGCTGTCTTCATACCATGCTGTCCCTACTGAGCAAGATGAAAGGTAGGAGACGGTACCTTTTGTGGGCCCGTGTTCTCAGGGTTTCCACTTCAAGGCGCTGAAACAAAATGCGGTGTTTGAAATGCCACACAAAGGCAGGAGGAGTTTCTTTCAAAAAAAAAAAGAGACCACAATATGGTAAAGGTTTCAGTGGGCATGAAGCTAGGAGGATCCTTTGTACACACGAGGCCTGGGTTTTCATTGCCGTAGAAGTCTTCACACACTGGTCAAAAACTTGCTGTGCATTTGTGATGTGCTTTCATACAGAACAGTGGAATTCTGCTGTCAGAAGATGTAACTTCATTGGGAAATGGTCTTTGATAGAAATAATATTTTGGTAGGAGAAGTGCCTTAGTGTTTAAGAACACTCATTGCTCTTCTAGAGGAGCTAGGTTCATTTCCAGCACCCACATGGTGGCTCACAACTGTCTGTAACTCCACTTCCAGGGAACCTATTGCCCTCTTGTGGCTTCTGTGGGTTCCAGACATACATGTGGTACACAGATATACATGCAAACAAAAGACCCATGCATATAAAGAAAACAATAAAAGTGTTCTAAAAGTATATATCTTCCCCATTATTCCTTTTTAGTAATGATGAAAATATTTCAAATAAGAATTTGGGGCCTGGCAGTGATGGCACACACCTTTAATCCCAGCACTCAGGAGGCAGAGGTAGACAGATCTCTGAATTTGAGGCCAGCCTAATCTACAGAGCGAGTTCCAGGACAGCCAGGGCTGTTACACAAAGGTACCCTGTCTCAAAACAATAACAACAACCCCCCCCCAGAAAAAAAACAAAAAAAGCAAGAGTTTGGTATTTGTTCAAGAAATAGCATGATGAACAATATAAAGGATGGAAGATAAATGTTCTAAATCAAATCAGTTACAGTGACTTAGGGTTTTTATTGCTGTGATAAAGACAATGATCAAAAGCAACTTGAGAAGGAAAGGTTTATTTTCTCTTCTAATTCCAGGTGTCACTGAGGAGGTCAGTGAACTTCAATTCCTGGAGACAGGAACTGAAGCAGAGACTGGAGGAGTGTAGCCTACCGGCTTGCTCTCCATGCTCACCCTGCTTCTTATACACCTCAGGACCACCTACCTAGGGGCGGCCCCACCCTCAGTGTGCTGGGTCCTCTGCCATCAACCACTAATCAAGAAAATGCTGCCCAGGCTTGCGCACAGGCTGAGCTATGGCATTGTCTCTTCTGAGGTTCCTTTCTCTCAGTTGACTCTAGCTTGTGTCAAGTTGATTAAAAACCCAGTTGGCACATGATATTAACTTTCTAATGCATTTAGAAATATGCAGACGCACCTTTGAGGGATTTAGTTTAAACGTAAAGGATGAAGCCCATGTACTACACCCCAAACAGACAGGGTGAGATTTTACCTTCTGCCTTTCTTCTTGTCTGTGCAGTGGCCATTGATGAGACGTGGGATTCTCAGTCTGTGTCCCCTTGGTGGCAGCAGATGCGCATGGCCTGTATTCAGTCGGAGAACAATGGAGCGGCCCTACTGTCTGCACACGTTGGGCATTCTGTTGCTGCCCAGATGTCCAGCAGTTCTACAGATAAGAGAGTGAGTGGGCAGTTGTGCGGTGGCATTCTGTTGGCTGGCGGGGGATTTCCATGCTTGAGTAGATAACTTGCATTGCCCTGGAGCTCTAGAATGTGGGATGTGTGAGGAACTTGAAATAACAGGTAATGGATGTGATTCTTTGCTCACGAAGAGGTCAGGGCCACACTGGACCACTTCTTGGGTTTATTCAGGTTTATTCTGCCGTCCCATGATTGTCTCCATCCTCCTCCTCTTACACAGCCAGCACTGAGTCAGATGAACAAGCACTTTACCAGACACCTGAGTGGGTCTGTAGTAGTTTACTATAAACATTGTCAGTCCTAGAAGTTATGGGCAAAGTATACCAGATTGAGGTGTTTACAATGATACAGTTAGTTGGTCCATTCTGTCAATCAGTGTCCTGAGAGCAGCTCTTGCTTGTCAAAGGCCAAAAGACTCTTTAAGATGCACACTGACTGAGCCTGACTTATTACCACAGAACCTCTTCTAAATGTCCTGAGTATCCATCTCCTCCAGTCAAGTATTAAATCTGTAAAATTATATCCCTGTTGCTTTCATTTAAGTTAATGCTATTCAAAGTCTTTGCCAGGCAACTGGGGTGTGGTCAGTATTAGAGCACTTGCCCAGCATATGTAAGGCATGGGTTTGATCCCCAGAAAATGAAATGAAAACAAACATATTGCCCAGAGTGTGAGCGGATTTCTTCTCAGTTTTCCCAGACAGCTTTGGGTGCTGATGCAGAAGCCCTCACAGACTCCTGGGAAGCCCTTTCTCTTGACACCGAGTACTGGAAGCTCCTGCTGAAGCAGCTGGAAGACTGCCTCATCCTCCAGACCCTGCTCCACAGCAAGGCCAGTCCTTCAGCTGCCAAAGTGTCATCTCCACAGACAGAGCCACTTCCAAGGCTTTCTGTGAAGAAACTGTTAGAAGGAGGAAAAGGTGAGCCGAAGCCCGTGACTGTTTGCATGCACACACACATGATTCTGAATACATATTCACTTGTTCATGAAGTGACATGTTTATGAGACTCCCATCCTGCTTCCAGGTCCCACCTCACCCACTCGTGGACACTTGAGTCTTGCTCATGGTCAAAGTGCATCCAAGTGTCCTCCAGGAGACCATTCCCAACCAGCTTTCTCCTCCTCTCCTGATCTCCTTTAGAGCTAATAGTGCCATCCCTTCCTCTCTTTCTTCCCCTTTGTGTTTCTAAATTTTCCTGAAGTGCATGTTTTACATGCCACATAGTAGTCATGTGTATTTATGAGATACAGTGTGACATTTTAATACGTTTCTGCATCATTAGTTCTGATCCATTATGCAGCTATTTGTCATTGTTTTGTGTCAGGAGCACTCAAAGTCCTCTCTGATATCCGTTTTGAATGTTGAATTAGTTGTCAGTTAGTGTCTCTGCTGCACTGGGGACCAGAAGTTACTCACCCGTCCAGAGGCACCCTAGCACCTACTGTCCTCTCTGCATCCTTCTCCCTGCATTCTGCCCGGCCTCTGTGCGTTGCTCTTCCACCCTCTCCTATGAGAGTAGCTGCAGTTTCCACATGTAAGCCAGAGCAGTCAGCACTGTCCTCGTCTCTTTCTGCTGACCTACAGCCATTATGGTTTGGGGGCATAAGAACCTTTGTTCCAGTTGTCTCTGAGAACAGCTCGTTCTTCTTACCAGAGGCCCTGTTTGGGCACTTGATACCAGAATATTATTTCAAATGCTTCTAGATCTTTATGTTTTATTTAATGCATGAGTGTGCATGAATGCGTGTACAGGTACATGTACATGTACTTACAGGTCCATGGACTTTGTGTGTATGAATGAAGATCGGAAGAGGGTGTCAGGTGTCCTCTATCAGGGTCCTTCTATTCCTTTGAGGCAGGGTCTCTTTCCAAGCCTGGGGTTCAAATTTTCTAGGTTAGGTTGGAAGCCAGGAAGAGCCAGGGATTCTTCAGTCTCTGCTGACCTTAGAGATGGGCTTACAGGGGTGTGCTGTCTGCTTCGCTTGTTACATGGGCAATAAGCTCTATACTCTGGGCCTCATGTCTGTGAAGTACTTATCAAACCCTGAAGTCTCCCCAGCCCTGTAAGTGTTTATAGATTTTTACTTCTTAACTTGCTTTCTCATTCTTTATAAGATTTGTGATGGTTTTTTTAGTTGTTAATTTCCTCTATACCATGTTATCCCCTAATGATGTTGAGGTACACCATTGCAATATTAACCCAAGAAATGCAGTCAGGGGTATAATTCTAGAGTAACACTTTGAGATAGTTCAGAAGCCAGACATGAAGTTCAGTCTCCCAGCACCCTGTTCACAGATGATGGTGAGTTTACTATGAAGTATTATTTTTATGGGAAACTGTTTAAATCAAAATAAGAGGTAAGCCAGGCATGGTGGCATACATGTTAGTCCCAGCTATTCTGGAAGCAGATTGGGGAATGAACATTTGAGCTAATAAATTTCAAACTGGCCCTTGTGGGCATTACTCACACCTGCTCCCTACCCCCAAAGATAGGAAGTTTAGGGTAAAAGTTAGTGTATACCATTGTTAATTGTATACTTTATTCTAGGTGATAACCAGAATTTTTCACGTCTTAATATTTTTTAGCTGGCACTTAAAATTTTTTGTACCCTCTCACTGAGTAAAGTGGGAATTATGACTAAATTTTGCCCATAGATATTTTATCTAGCAAAGTTAGATGTACACAAGATGTGATCTAGGGTGGGTGGGGGTATGAGTCCCTGAGTGCAAATCCTCAGAACTCACGTGGAAAGCTAAGCATGGCTGTGCACATTTTAACCACAGTGCTGTGGGGCAGGCAGGCAGACTCCAGTTCGCTGCCATCCTGGATCCAGGTTCAGTGAGAGACCGTCTCAAGTGATTGAGGCAGAGTAACAGCAGGACACCGCCATCCTCCTCTTATGTCACGTGTGCGTTTGTGTACATATGTATAGACACATTTGCATTTAAGTAATGTAGGGGTAGGCATTAGTTCCATTGAAAGAGTGATTGTCTGGCATGCATAGTCCTAGGCTTAATCCCCAGCACCTTGTAACTAGGTGTGCTGGCATATACTTGCCCCATCACCTTAGAGGTGGGGGTAATAGCATCAGAAGTTTAAGGCCCATCCTCAGCTACAGAAGATTCTTTTTAAACCAAATAAATAAAGAAAAAAGAAAAAAGAATTCTTTAAAAAAAATAGTAATTTCCTCATCTGTGTCTGGTATGCTATATTTTGAATTTATGGACCTGGCAAGTGTACAGCATATAAGTATTGGCACATTTCTTGTTATATTTATTTAAGATTGTTCTCAGTGTAGAACTGTGCCCTCCCAAGTTGGATGATGTGTATTAACACTGCTGTTTGTCTCATGCTCTCCGGTATCACCTTCGGTTGATTCACAGCTGAATGTGGTGTGTATCTCTGGTCTTGAGGGAATATCCGGCATACTCTGTATTGGGCTCCATTTAATATATTGCTATTCAGATTTTACCAGATTTCGTTTTCCTATCTTATTCCTGTAGGTGGTGTTGCAGACAGTGTAGCCAAGTGGATATTTAAACAGGACCTCAGCCCTGAATTGTTGAAATGTGCCAACCAAGAAAGAGATGCAGAAAGCCCAGATGAACCCAAAGAAGGTATTGCGCGAAGTTTCCTTGAGGTGCCAGAGGTGCAGATAGACCTAGGAGCCATACCAGGTGACACCCAAATGATGAGCATTACGAGATTCGGGGTGCAGTGACGTAGCCACGTTCTTGTTACTGATGAGGCTGTTACCCTCTGTGTCTTTCAGACTTGCTGCGTTTAGCCTATGAGCAGTTCCCATGTAGCCTTGAGCTTGACGTGCTGCATGCACATTGCTGCTGGGAGTATGTTGTTCAGTGGAATAAGGACCCAGAGGTGCGTCCCTCTCTGTCTGCTGGTTGTGTCTGCACACATGTACCCGGGCCAGGCTTGTCTTGCAGCTCACTAAACATTTGTTTTTACCTTGTGCCTGTACTAGTAGCTGGGCTTGTCAGGAGTATTTCTTAGCGCGAGCTCCCTGCCCATGCAAAATCCCAATCAAGCCAAATCAAAACAAGCCGAATTAAGAAATATCCAGGTTTAATGGGACTTCTGCACTCTCGGGTGGCCCCGAGGGGGAAACCGGGAAGCCATGGGAGCGGGAGCAACCCGGGAGGAAGAAAGGGAGACTAAGTGTTTCTCTTTTGGGAGATCACTTAAATACCCTGGGGGGAGTGGTCCTGACCCCACCCCCAGGGAGGGGTCAGAACCTGGCCTGCTGGGATTTGGAGTCCACACCAGGCCTGGGCTAGATGCCAGGGGCAGGGGCCTACGCTCCCAACTTGACAGTACTAAGTGCTGAACCTATAGCTTCATGTTTGCTAGGCAAGCACCTGAACGCTGAACTATAGCCTCAGCCCTTTGAAACTTACTATTTCCTGGAGACAGGATCTTATTAAAGTTACCTTTACTAGCATTGAACTTGTGGCTTTCCTGAGTATGAGCAATGTGCACAGCAGTGGCCAGCTGTGTTCTTAAGTGACCTCAGTGGTACGTCATTCAGATTCTAGGAGTTTGATCCTCTTTCTAGTTCTAGCCTTCCTTTTTTCATTGACTAGAAGCATAGTTGAAGACTGGCTGTAATTAGTACTTTGCTGTGGGGACTCATCGAGAAGGTGACGAAGGAATATGAACAGGATTCCCATCCTGGCGCCAGGGTTAGCAAGGACAAGTCTATTATTTAGATCACTCTTAGTGTATTATCTTAATATATAACACCATTACATTTTAAAGAGCCTTTATTAGGGGTAGGAAGGATATCTTATTGTAGCAGTGTGAGTCAATTCACCTTTGAATCAGCCCGAGATAAAGACCTCAAAGAAAAAATTTGGATCCCAGAGGAGTCATTTACAAGAATCCTTATGAAGGAGGCTTTCTCTCTCTCTCTCTCTCTCTCTCTCTCTCTCTCTCTCTCTCACACACACACACACACACACACACACACACACAGACATATATTTTATTGCTTTATAAATAATACCATTCAAAATTTCCACTTCCTCCCCTCCTTCCATTTTCCTCCCATTCCTCCCTCTCACCCTCTTCCCTCCCCCTCCAGTCCTAAGAGAGAACAGAGTACCCTGCCCTGTGGGAAGTCCAAGGCCCTTGAGAGAGGCTTAAGTGAAGGAGGTAGCAAAGGAAATAGCTACAAGATGCTCTCATATCTTGTTTCATCTTGGTGTCGAGCTTGAAGGATTGATGCCTTTCTTAAATGGCTGGAGTGGTGGGGTAATAGATTTGGTGGCCAATCGTACATCATCCGTTTAGTTGGGATCCAAAGCCAAGCTTGGAACCACTCTGAGGGTACTTCCAGATGTGACCCTAAGGGTGTGGGAAATGAGGCCTTATCAGCAAGCTGAGAGGCCCACAAGGGCAACCTTGGACACGAATTGGTAGTGTACATAGTAGGGCTGTTCCTGGGTTATCGTTCTTATCCAAATGTAAGAAAAGTGATAGCCATCAGACATGAGGCTGCCATTAGGACTTTGACTTTACCAAGATGGCACATAGTGTTAGGTTGGTGCCATTTCACGCAGAAATGCAGGAGGAAATCAAAACTGTACTTGTTAGAGCTCACTGGGGACAAGGACAAAGCACCCAGCTTCAGGTGAGGAGAGAGCCCGTGTTCCCGACCCGACTGGTGGCAGGCGATACAGTCCGGTGCTAAGAGAAAGAGAAAGGTTCTGCTCACAGAGTTGGCTCAACTGCCTTTGTGCCCTGTTGCCAATCCTTCCGGCTAATCCTAGTTACAGCACACAGCTGGCATGACCTTGGGAAACATCCCTGAGCCCATTGTCTCAATTTCTTCCTAAACGAGAATATTCTACGGTAGCAGTCATCTTAACTTAACACATCACACCCCATCTCAACTTCAACACTACACACATATCTACCTTTAATTTTAAATTGAATTATATTTAGAGACTTTGCAGTATCAACATGTGTGGAACAGTAGTGATGGGGGCTTCAAGTGGCTTTAGCCAACATCTGGATGATTTTGCGAGCATTACATGCTAATATGTGAATTTGAGGATATCAGCCTTTGTGATATCACAGGTGGCTTTTAAGCCTTCCCTCTGACATTCCCTGGTCCCTTGCTCTAATCTTCTCTCCTTACCATTTACTCCTGACACTCTGATATGCTCGCTTTCATATTTATTGTCTAGCTTCCTCACTAGACTCTACCCTCAGTAAAGACCAGGATTTGGGTCCATTTTGTTCAGTGTAGTTTTCCTGGGGCCTTAAATAGATTTCATGCATAGTAGCTACTTTAAATTTGTTGCATAATGGTTGTTTGTAAGAAGAAACTAAGTTTTCACGCCTGTGAAAATCAAGTATTGCATGTAGAGAACAATCGTGTGGTATTGAGACTACAGAGAACGTGAATCTCCCTGTCAACATGATCTGGGGTGCATCTAGAAATTAATCGTTAATTAGATAATGAAATGGTTGAAGTTATCTCATCAAAAGTTATTTTTTTAACCTAACTCACAGATATCTTTGGTTTTTATTTTCTTTTCCCTCCTTCTTGTTTTTGTTTGAATCAGGATTTAGTTATATAGCTTAGCCTGGGATTCCATTTTTAGCCTTTGTGGTCTAGAATTCATGGTCTTTCTGCTTCTATCAATTTCTTTTTGTTTGCTTACTTGTTTGTTTTTGAAGCAGGGTCTAACTGTGTAGCCCTGGCTGTCCTTCAACTCACTGTGTAGACCAGGCTGGCTTCAAGCTCATAGAGATCCACCTGCCTCTGCCTCCTGAGTTCTAGGATTAAAGGTGTGCACCACTATACCCAGCGGCTGCCGCTTTGGCGGTGATAATGGTGCTGCTGCTTCTTCCTTTTCCTCCTCTTCCTCCTCCTTCATGTATGTCTGTGCACTAAATGTGCCCAGTACCCTTGGAGATTAGTATAGATACGTAAGCCATCATGTTGGTCCTCTGCAAGAGCAGCAGTGGTCTTAGCCACTGAACCATCTCTCTAACCCCTTTGCCAAATTCTTAAGTAGATTTATGCAGGAAATTCAGTAAGACATCTCAGTGGGGGCTGGAAGGGTGGCTTGATGGCTAAGGTTGCTTCCTTCAGAGGACCTGAGTTTAGTTCTCAGCACACTCGTCTGGATGCTCACCCGTGCCTGTAACTCTAGCTTCAGGGGATCTGATATCCTCCTCCAGCTCTGCAGGCGTCCTCTCGCACACAGCATTCACTCGCCACAGACACATAAACAAAAGTAATTCTTAAAAGGTTTTCATTGATGTCAAATAACCTTTATCTTTTTTTTTCTCTCTCTCCTGTCTAAGGAAGCACGCTTTCTGGTTAGGTCCATAGAACACTTGAAGCACATTCTTAATGCACATGTTCAAAATGGTGAGTAGCAGATGTTAAGCCCTCATGGACTCATGGAGCCCCTGCCAAAATAGGACATGAATTGTCATGCTGACATCCTCCACCAGCGTCTGGCTCTTGCCTTAGCACCTCCTGTAACTGCTTCCTTCCAGGACTATGGAGCATTACTGCTGATTGCCAGCTGCTTTGCTATGTAAAGAAATGGTCAGGTTTTGTTCTTGTTTGCTCAGTTGAGTTCTTTAAATATTTTTAATGTTTTAAAGTACTTCTTTGTCTTTTGGGGGAGTGGGTGTTTGTTTTCCTCATGCAGTAAGGCCTCTTGTTGCCCAGGCTACCCTTGAACTCCTGATCCTCACAAAGGCTGGCATTACAGGCATGAGCCACCACATCTGGCTACTTTGATGTACTTTTAATATTTTGTTATTTTAATGCTTTTACATAAGAATGAAGCTGTTCTCAATAATTTGTGCCTGTCTGTAATGCTGAGTTTCTGAGATGTGCTGGGAGACCAGCAGGTACCATGTTAACAGTTTCCCCAGAGGTCTTCCCGCATCACTGTCTCAGCCAGTGTGTGCTCCTTTTGTTTCAGACTCTCACCAAAGCTTGAGAGCCAGGAGTGCTAATCCATAGCAGCAGCTGAGCATGTGAGAGGCCCTGTGTCCCGCCTTGCACAGCCCTGTAGTGGGAAGGAATGGCTGGCCGCATCCTGCCACCCAGCTAGCTTTACCTGAAAGAATTACACGGAAACTGTATTCTTTTAAGCACTGCCTGGCCCATTAGTTTCAGCCTCTTATTGGCTAATTCTCGCATCTTGCTTTAACCCATATTTAGTAATTTGTGCAGCACCATGAGGTGGTGGCTTACTGGGAAAGATCCTAACCTGCCTCTGTCTCGGAGAGGAGAGTCATGGCGACTGACTCATTGCCTTCTTCCCAGCATTCTGCTGTTCTGTCTACTCCACCTATCTAAATTCTGCCCATCAAAAAGTCAAGGCAGTTTCTTTATTAACCAATGAAAGCAACAAAAATACAGAAGGCCCTCCTACATCACAGCCGCTGCACAGCTCCCAGCACAGCCCCCTGCACAGCCCCCAGCACAGCCCCCTGCACAGCCCCCAGCACAGCCCCCAGCACAGCAAAGCGAAGCAAGCAATCAAACCTTCAAAGCCTTTCTGGAGGCTGTGTGATATTATGATGATGATGATGATTTTTTTTCCTTGTGATATGAATTTTATACTTATGCTTAAAGCTATACTCCTTTTTCACTTATTCTTCTATTAAAAATGAAAATTCTGTATAAGATGCAAGAAGTAATGTAAATAAATTTGGGGATGAGAGTTACATGTCTGAAGTTGCATCTGTAGTACTCTGTTCTTGTTTCATTTGCTGTCTAGGTATCGCGTTGATGATGTGGAATACATTCTTAGTTAAAAGGTTTTCTGCTGCCACCTACTTGATGGATAAGGTGAGGTGATGTTAATTGTCTCATACTTCTTAACTAGTTCCCTTAATTTATTGATATTAGAAAGATTGTTCACACTGAGGTGTGTGGACAGTTGACAGACTATTTCTGGTTGTCTGATAGTGTGGTTTAGTCCTGCTGGCTTAAATGTACTTCTGAGGGCTAGCATTGTGTGTCTTTGTGTGTGTGTGTGTGTGTGTGTACATGTATATATTTGAGATTATAAGAAAATTACATCATTAACCCCCTTTTTTTCCTTCCAGCTCCTCCCATGCACACACATCCTCGCTGTCTTTCAAATTCATGACCACTTTTTCTTTGATCATTGTTACATATATACAAATATACTCTTAAACATATAAGTCCAACCTGCTCAGACCATATATTGTCATTGTTGTATGTATATGCTTTCAGAACTGACTGTTTGGTATTGGATAACCAATTGGTGTGCTCTTTTCTGGGGAAACCACTTCTCCCACTCTCATTATTCCTTAGTTGCCTAGAGCTCTTTGTCGTGTTGAGGCCACATGAGCTCTCCCTCTTCCACGTTAGCACGTCTGTTGTGATGTCCTTGTTCAGCTCCTGTTTAGACAGCAGTGCTGGTGAGACTTCATGGGTGTAGCTTTTCTGATGTTTCTAGGAGAAAAACTTGCAGCAAACTCCCTTTTCCCATCTCTTACAATCTTATAGCTCTCTCTTCTGCAGTGATCTCTGAGCCTCAGGTGACTGAGTTGTGCAGTAGATATATCAGTTGAACTGAGCTCTGCATTTGACTGGATGTAGTTTTCTGTAGTGGGCTCTGTCTGTCGCACAGAGAAGTGTCCTTGAATGGAAAGAACTAGCTTGTCTGTGGGTACAAGGATAAACATTTAGAATGTACTTAGAGATTATGCTGGGTTAGTAAAGTATCAGTTGTAGGGTCTCCTGAGATCCATGACTTTACCATCTCCATGTAGTTGGCTAGGTTTCCAGTACCAGAATAATTTGTTAAGTGGACCTTCAGTCCAATTAGAGAGCTGTTGGTTACTGCCAAGATCCATGTGCCACTCATGCACCCTCAGGGTTATGGTGCCTTACCTGTTGTTACTGTGGTTCATAGGCATCATAGCTGGGTAGACTTATTAGTTGTTTCCCTCCTTTGGAAGTTTGCATGGTGTCTTCTGTTCATTCAGATCATTTCCAGCTTAGGAACCTCTGTGCTGTTTCTGAAGTGTGTGCAATAGGGACTTACCTTCCACCCCTGGGGGGCAACCAAGCTTAGAATGTCTTGGGAGTCTCCTGGACAACCCCGACCAACAACTCAAAAGAGGGCTTCTCATGTCTGCTGTTGAGGTTTTTATTAGATAGTGTATTGCTCTTGGGGAGGGAGGAAACTTTGTCAGCCCAGATGGGATCTCAATTCTCAATCTCTCTCTCCACACATACACACATATATATGCATATACACACACACAATGTGCTATATATTATATACTATATATGTATACACATCTGTACATATGTGCACACATGTATTTATGTGTATTATAGGTATTTTTAGGTAGACAGTTAATAATGATTCCTTATGACTTTTTCAGACACATTAACTGTTGTTTTGCTCCCCCCCCCCCCCCCCACTTTCTTCTCTATTTATCTCTCTTCCTTGCTTCCAAATTGGAGCCACCCTGTTTTTCCCATCTGGCCTCACTATTACCCCTTGGCTTCCCACCAACCCCCATGGTCCATTTTTATTTTCCTGATTTCTGCAGCTACTCAAGATTTGGAGTTCAGATGAGAGAACATAACATTTGTCTTTCTGAGTCTGGGTTACCTCACTCAGTATCTCTTCTAGTTGCATCCATTTACTTGCAAAGTTCGTGATTTCATTTTTCTTTACAACTGAATAGTATCCATAGTGTGTATGTACTAATTTTTCCTTGTCTATTGATTGGTTGTAGGACACTTAAGTTGTTTGCATTTCCTGGCTGTTTTGACTAGAGCAGCAATGAGCATGGCTGTCCACTGTTGTTCAGCACTCTCTTTACTGGCCAACAAGGCTCTCAGGTGTTGTTTACTAGGAAGATTCAGATAACACAGTTACTTGGCTGTACGAGCAGAGAGCTGGATTTTTACCAAGCTTCTGTCTCCTGCCGCCTTCCTTTCGCTCTTCTGCGTCTTGTCATCTTTCAGCCTCCCCCGCCTTTTTTTTTTTTTTTTTTATGACAGTACCTTACCAACTAGTCTTGAACTCTCAAATTCAAGTTCTCGAGGGCCGGGATTTCACCTGTGTACCACTCTCCCTTGCCCAGCAAGAAATTTTACTTATTGGTTCAAAAATACACATTTAACTAGGGGAGGAAGAATTTTTTTTTATTTGATTTATATTACTTTTGGTGTGTGATTGTTTTGCCTACATGCATGTATTTGTACCACGTACATGCCTGTTGAAGCCCCTAGAACTGGGTTTACAGATGGTTGTGAGCCACCGTATGGGTGCAGGGAATTGAACCTAGGTCCTCTGTAAGAGTAGCAAGTGCTCTTAATTGCTGAGCCATCTCTCCAGCCCAAGAATTTGCTTTTGAAAATAATTATTCATGAGCTCTGTGTGAATTTTTTTTGTGATATATATATATATATATATCTACCACAATTGTTAGTAGCCTGCCAATAGTTAATTACTGGCATGTATATTGATAGCTGTAATTCTGGTTGCTTGCTTTTTATTTTTTGTACTGTTCCAATGCCTTTTAGTTTAAATTGTTACCTATTATACTTTGTCTGTTTTAGGTTGGAAAGTCTCCAAAGGATAGGTTATGCCGAAGGGTGAGTCTCCCTGTTAAACCTGCACTCTACATATTTCCACTGTTGAGATGACCTATGTGGAGATAACAAAAAACAGAGAGTACTGCATTAAGGAAATAGTTTTGATCTGTGGTCCCTCAATATCCCTGTCTAGATTGGCAGCTAGCATATGTAAGTCTTAAGATTCGTTTGGCTGTGGGATCTGGACTGGAAGCAGCAAGTTGCCATCTCTGCCTGGGTCTACTCTGCCCTAGCAGCTCATAGTGGAGACATTTGACCTCACCTGCAGGCAGATTATACCTAACTAAATAACCACCGACCTCCGTTGAGCTTCTGATCATGGACACTGAGACTGCTGACCAGTAGTTTCCCTCCAAATTGACATGTTCTTCTTACATATCTCCAGAAATGTGAGACACACAAATCGAACGTGGGGGAATCTTATTCCCATGGTGGCAGTATGTTAGAGTTAAGTATGTATGTGTGCAAGTACGCATGCACACACTCTGAGTTATGTACTTTGAAGATGTGAAGAATCCAGTGATTGTTGGCTTTAAAAAGATTATCCAGGCCGGGCGGTGGTGGTGCACACCTTTAATCCCAGCACTTGGGAGGCAGAGGCAGGCGGATCTCTGTGAGTTCGAGGCCAGCCTGGTCTACAAGAGCTAGTTCCAGGACAGGCTCCAAAGCCACAGAGAAACCCTAAAGATTATCCAGAAATGCAGTAACTCCTCACAGGGGCCGGTAGGAGGGGTCAGTGGGAACTATTTCTTGCCAAATATGTGAATTTGGTATTTGGTTGTCAAATAAGGAATTCTAGTTTTATTCAGATGATTCAGTTCAGTGCCTTCAAGATGCCATAAAACCAGCAGCCCAGGTTGTTTCTTCAGAATTTAGCACATGTTGAACCACGTTTGTGTGTCTTACCATATCCCATGGTTTGGCTAGCACATTGAAGGATCTGTAGTCACTGTGTACAATCTCTCCCCCGCCCTTTGGTGGTGCTACAGATTGAATCCAGAGTCTTACATATGCTAAGTATATACTCCACCACTGAGGCAACCACCCTCACCCCAGACATTAAAATTGATAGTAATAACACTAGTATCACTAGTATCACACTAAAGGCTAATATCAAATTGATCAATGCTACCAAACCCTCTGGCAAATTGTATTCAGTATAGAAAAGCAGGCAAGTGGACATGCTGAAGTCTCTTGTTTCTCTAATAGTACAGAAGTTTTGATGGGGTCATAATGTTCCTTTTTGAGAACAGGATGTGGGGATGAGTGACACAGCAGTGACGTCCTTCCTCGGATCCTGCCTGGATCTTCTTCAGACTTCACTGGAGGTAAAAGGCGTGTGCACGGTGGGGCATGCCTGGAATCCCCCTTGGGAGGCTGGGAAAGAAGGACCGCGAGATTGAAGACTAGCCAGGGCCTTGAAGTGAGACTGCACACAGCATGTGTTTTCCCCCCGACACCCTCATTCGAGTGTCTCTTTAGATATTAAATAATCTGAAAATCATTGAGCTTAAATGACATGATGGGTTTATTTATCATATTTATTGTACAATATTATTATTGTATATTTTGACTTTAGCCTCAAAAGTGATATTCTTTCTTTCTCTTTCTCTCTCTCCCCCTCCCTTTCCCCCTCTCTCTGAATTATATTTTTGTGGTTTCTGTTATAAATAGGGAATACAGGCTGAGTTTGCAGTTCCTATTCTCCAACTCCTGACACTGTCTTCTATTCTCAACTGCCATAGGCCGACATTAGCAGGGATGAAATGCAGGTGCCAGTCCTGGACACTGAGGATGCCTGGCTGTCCGTGGAAGGCCCCATCTCTATAGTGGAACTGGCGCTCGAGCAGAAGCCTATCCACTACCCACTGGTGGAGCATCATTCCATCCTGTGCTCCATCCTGTATGCAGCCATGCGCTTTTCTCTTAAGAGTGTGAAGCCTCTCGCTCTTTTTGATAGCAAGGTGAGTCCCCAGAGGCTTTCAGAGTTGTTGTGGAGTTGTTGGCTAACAGGTACATGGGGTTCTTACTGAATGGTATGTCCTCTGTTCTTTAGTGGGTTGTGGGATATGATCCACTGAATCCCAGGTCCGTATCCCCTACCTAGTTCCATTCTTCTAATTTATTCATGGCATCCTTCTCATTCTGCATATTCTCCCTAGATACATCCAGACTCACTCATACATCTAATGAGTGTGTTCTGTTCAATGTCCTAAGGAGTTTATATCTACTCCTTGCTGCCATGACTTCAGTTTGCTTTCCCTTGAGTTCCCTGGCTTGAGTAATTAACGCCACCCTTTGTGCACTAGTACACACTACTGAGGTTGTTTCATGGAGGTCTCAGCTAAAGGGTCAAATAGACTGGGGAGTATGATGTAGCTGTGTCTGTGGGATGACTCACTTGACCACTTGAACACCCAAGGCAGAAGCAACAGTTGTTTGGAACCCAGTCTGGAATATGACTGGCCGCCACCTGTCTAATCATGTTTGCTGGTGGTCAGCAGGCCACAGTCTGGGGGGGAGGGGGGGGAGAGGCACGGGCTTGAGTGCTGGATGAGCGGAGGTGGCGAGCACCATGAAGATCAACTATTCAGATCTCTCCCTTATGCTCCCTAGTAGTCTGTAATCACCACATGTTTTTTGTTCTTGTTTTTTGATCTTTCTCTTTTTAGGGAAAGAATGCATTTTTCAAAGACTTAACTTCAATTCAGTTATTACCTAGTGGGGAAATGGATCCAAATTTCATTTCTGTAAGACAACAGGTAATTCAAATACTGGATTCTGTTCTTACTGCTTAGATAACAGAGCACAAATATGGCTGTCTTAAAAAAAAAGAAACCAAGAGACTTTAAAAAAACACCAAGAGCTAGTTTCCTTAATATATATTCCTTTACTGCTATCAAAGCAGCTTTAGTCAGTGGGATGGCCCAGCAGGCAGGGGCACTTAGTGACCTTATTTGGACCTCCAGAACCTTCATGGCAGAGAGAGTTGACGCCTCCACATTGTTGCTGTGGCATGCACACATTCATGTTGCATGTACATAAACACACACACAAACTTTAAAAATTAAAAGGCCAGGTGGTGGTGGTAGTGCACACCTTTAATCCCAGCACTTGGGAGGCAGAGGCAGGCGGATCTCTGAGTTTGAGGTCAGTCTGGTCTATAGAATGAGCTCCAGGACAGTCAAGGACATACAGAGAAACCCTGTCTCAAAAAAACAAATAAATTTTTTAAAAAATTAATTTTAATGGAGTATCTCTGGTTGACACAAAGTTGTGTGTATGGGGGGCGGCCTTGCATACTCCATAGCACTGAGTATAGGGAGGACAGTCAGTTCTTCCACTTCATGAACTCTTGGGCTTGAACACGGGCAACCAGCTTATACACAGGCACTGGGTTACTGTAAATAAAAAGTACTGACAAGGCAGTGCTGTGCTTCCTGTCTTCAAGTTCTTACTGAAAGTTGTCAGTGCAGCTGTCCAGGCCCAGCATTCTGTCACCAAGGACAAAGAAGAGGCAGCAACCACGCATTGGAAAGACCAAAACTGGCCGGTTCTGGCTGTGGATTTAGCTCATCACCTTCAAGTGAGCGAAGATGTCATTCGAAGGCATTATGTGGGAGAGCTATACAACTATGGAGCTGACCTCTTAGGAGAGGAGGTAAGAATGACCTGTGATGTCATTCTTGGGGCTCAAGCTAAAAAACAGACAACTGAAGGAAGCAGTAAACGAATATTAAGAGTTGGATATAGTGGTGGATGCATTTGATGTGGAGGCAGGATAACAATATTGAGGTCATCCTATCCTATCTACGTAGGCCAGTTTGGGCTGAACGAGACCCAGGCTCAGAATAAACAACAAAAGAATAGAAAGCTGTAGCCAGAGTTGTGCCTGGAGCATAGAGGAAGGAGTAAGGCTGCCTGTGGAACTGGAGGAGCAGAAAAGCATGGATAATTCTGTACCAAGAGACAAAAGTGAGCAGAGCCATAGGCTAAATAGGAGCCTCAATGAGTGGAAGAAAGTGCTAGCTGAACTGACCTCTCAAGGGGAGGAAGCAACTAGCCACTCAAAGAGATGAGGGAACCGTGCCTCAGATGGAAGAGCAGAGTGCAAAGGTCCTGAGATGGGAACCAGCTTGGCAAGGTCCAAGACTAGAAAGCCAGTGTGTCTGCCAGGCCTTGTCAGCAATGAGTAAGGGCGGGTAGGCATCCACTCGTAAGCAAGAATGACAAAGGTGAGGCTAGGATGACCCCTTTCACTTAAAGATAAGATATTGTCATACTCAATTGAAAACTTGGGTAACAAAAAAAAAAATAGCTGATGAGCAAAAATTTGGGTTTCCTTTGTCCATGCACATGGTCATTATGAACTGAAACAGCTCTCCGCTGACAGCCTCCGGGACGGGCTGCGTAGCTCTTGCATGATTATTTTCCCCTATGATCATCCTCAGGCCATCCTGCAAGTCCATGACAAAGAAGTTCTGGCATCTCAGCTGCTCGTGTTGACAGGGCAGAGGCTGGCTCATGCACTTTTCCACACCCAGACAAAAGAAGGCATGGAGCTGCTGGCCAGACTCCCACCCACACTCTGCACCTGGCTGAAGGCAATGGTGAGTGCAGGGCAGAAGGAGAAGGCCTCATGGGTGACCTTCCTTCAGTGAATTCACAGCAAGAAATGTCTTTAGTGGAAGAACTTTCATAATAAAGCTTAAGACAGTAACAATTATTGTTTGACTTAATCAAACTAAAGGACTTTTGTGTCCCGTTCGCAGAACACCCAGGATCTTCAGAACACTGATGTGCCAATTGCCGCAACAGCTAAACTAGTGCACAAAGTAATGGAGCTCCTGCCAGAGAAGCACGGGCAGTACAGCCTCGCCTTACACCTCATCGAAGCTGTGGAAGCCATGGCTACTTTATGACAGTAGTCCAAAGTTCTGTGACCACATCAATCACTGCATGTCACTTTACACAGCAAGATCTGGAACTTTTTGGAGGTTTTTTTTTGTATAATAAATAAATATATTACTTTTAAAAAGTGCAATCCTGGCTAAATTCCATTTCTTCAGTGGAGACTGAAGATAAAATACATAACTGGGCTATAATGAATACAGATGCTTTACTGTTATTTTTTCATTCAAGTAAGCAGCTTTATTGTTAAACTTTGTATTGTAACTGATTATAATTTGCAGGTTTCATTCTTACTGTAGTATTCCAGTTCATATCCAGATGACTCCTGTGGGGATTAAGTGTTCATATAGCTTCCATCAGCATGCTAGCGATACAGCCCACATCCCTTTAGAACATGCAGAGATGTCCTATGTTTGGCCCTGCACCAGGATGCCACTGGCAGGGAGCTCTGGGTGCTGACTGCTTCCTGTCCTGGGGTGCTGCTGCCATCAGAGGAGAAATGGCTGAGATCCCAGAAGCGACCTGGAGAAGGACCCCGGGCCTACTGTACTTGCCAGAATTGGGAATCAGAGATGTGAACAATGCTACAATGTAAATTAAGATTAACTCTTTATTTTGTCAAGTTCCAAAATTGTATCCACATCAGGTAATTGTAAAAAATGTATTATCTTGTAAGACTTATTTGTAAAAACAAAAGAACAAAGCAAAGATTCTAAAATATTTAAAGTCCAACGTTATTTTTCTTCCAAGTGTTCAAAATGTCCATTTCTGGGCCGTGGTCATGTTGCCTGTCCTAGGAGGACAGAGAATATGCTTTGTGCTGTGACAGCCTTAGAAAACCTACCTCACAACTGGGTGGAGAAGACAAACTGCAGCCAGTTCTGTAGCCTGTAGGCCTAGAGCAGGCCAAGCACTAAACAGATGTGTGAGTCAAACCCACCTACCCCGGGCTGGCCACAGTGCTCGGCTCTGCAGACCAGCAAGTGCTCACTGCGGGGAGACTCTCTGGGGTGTAGCCATGCAGTGCAACTGCGGTGACTGCTGCGGTCACAGCTGTCACAGTGTTCATTCCAACAGAGGAAGAAGGCAACTCCACCATTGTGAAGGTTGAGAATGTCCTTCAGGGACACCCAGTAAAAATCTGAACCCGAACATGCACAAATGTGAATTCCTTTCCATTAAAAAGTCAAATCTAAGATCGTGGCTGGCTAAAACTAACGCTGTTAGCAGTCGGATTTCCCTAAGAGAAATGTTTCGGTGTTGCCCAGGTGGCTGTGAGGAGCTGCGATCTCTGTGAGCTCAGCTTTACTGACATGAATACCGCCCTTTCCAGGGTCCTAGGAGGCCCGTTCTCCCCGTGCCCTGAGTACTCTGGAAGAAGCTGGAGAGAGTCCTTTTACTCTAATCCCATTACTTGTTCTGGGTGGAGGAGAGCTTGTATTTTTTGAGGATAATACTGGCTAAATTTACTCTGGTAGATCACATAAGATAATTAAAACACAAATTAAGTCTCTAAGTTAGATTTGTCATCCAAAAATGTAATACACGTAGAATTTAAAAACTAAATCCTGAATTTCATAAAGGCAGTAAAATATTCTACAACTTTACTAAGGGCTTTAAAATAAATCTGATAAAGAAAGATTAAGATTTATGTATCCATTCTCTAACAACAAAGTGCCACAAATAAAGGAATTAGGTTCTAATGGGACTGGTGTCCCTGCAACAAGGGCATGTATGCCCTTAGCCAGTAGCATTTCCCTAGAGACCCCCTTGTCTCCCTTACAATTACATACTTTTTTACGCTGCTAATGAAAAGTGTTTAGATAACCCTAACTTCTCTACCCCAGGCTGTGCTTAGATGTAGACATGGAGGGGCCAGGATAATGTAGATACAGCAGTACATTACATAGAACCAGGCTTCCCATGCTTCCCACTTTAGCCAGGAGACAGAAAAGCACTTCACCTTGTTAGAAAAGGTCATCTACGGTGTGAAGCCTGCTGCATTTAAATAGCTTTTTAAAATATGATTACTTATGGTTTAAAATCATAGCAAACTAAGACTTAGTAACAATAAGCTTACATTGATTACAGCACTCACTTAGAAGTTGCTATGGTCCATTTCATGAAGAAACAAGTATTCCTATGGTGCACTCTAGCAATAGTGAAAGCCCTCTCACCTCACAGGGATGGGTTTACGAGGCAGCTAGATTCTGCTTAGATTAGCCATCCTTGAAAGATCAATCCAGTACTGGATTGCTCACAAAATGCTCTATTATTTGTCTACTGTCAGTGTATTTTAAGTAGTGAATTCTGTATATACCATTACTTTCTGTGTCTATTCATTATTGTGAACTTATGTATATTAGTGAAATAAATGTTCAGCTTTTATGTTATGTTCTCGACATTCATACATATAAGACAAAGAGATTTTTCTTTCCCCTCTTGAGTAAGTTTGATGACGTTCTTCGCAGTACGTTCCAAAATCCTGCTGCCTTAGAAACTTGATGTTTGCTAGTGGCAGAATGAACTGACCCCTTCACCTTGTGTGAGCACACGACTCTTCCACTCCCCTGCAAAGTTACACACTCTATAATCCAAAACTTCTACACCACCATCAGTTGGGAGTTTCTCAGAATGCCTTTATTTTCAGACATTATATAACTTAAATACTGAGTCAAAAAAGTTTCAGTAAAATATAAAACATTTCTGTTTGGCCACACTGAAAGTAACCATATTCAGTGCCTGACTCTGAAGAAGTCCATCATGAGTGTGAGAGTGTGTGTCTGTCTGCTCTGTGTACATGTATGTTATGTCTTCATATATGTATTTCCATGTATGTTTGTGTATGTATGTGTGTATATATATATATAAATCTTTCAGTTACAGGAAATACTTCTTTTAATATCCTTTTACCCCTATCTTTCTCTTTTACCATTTACTCTTCCACTCCTTACCTAAACCTTGGATTTCTTTCTAGGGTTCTAATCATTCAACCGCAGTCAGCACTGAGGAGGGTTCTTGCTCAGGGAGCTGTTAACATCAGAATGTTATTTTGCACCAATGACCTCTGCACACCGAGGACAAAGAGTATCTGCAGAGTCAGCGGTGTGCTTCCAACATCGAGGGCACTTTTCTTTGGCAGTTGGTATGACAATGACTTTATACGAAGACTCCTCACGAATGTCGCCACCTTGAAAAAACACACAGAGCATCTCCAGTCACTAGGCTTGCACTGCCATTCCTCCGCGGGTCAGCGGTCGCTCCTTCCCAAGGCTTTCTTCCCTCCCTCCTTTCTAGCACAGCCCAGGTTTTGCCCCATGACATAAATTGTCAATAACATAGGATCAAAGAACTTGATTACTGAAGAACAGATGACAGACCAACTGCTTCTCATCCAACTATGAGTCCTGCATTGCTTAGAGCTGGCCCTGTTCTTGGCCTAGATACACAGCTGACTAGTCTCTCTATGTAGCCTGTCCTCACAGAGTGAGGCCTCCTCAGTACTAGGACTAAAGCTGTTAAAATGCCATGTTATAGAGTCTGGCAATGCCACCAAACTTCAGGTACGCAGAAGAAACCGCTCTCTCCATCCACCATTCCAGTCAATGAGGAGGAGTCAAGGTGAAGAAGCTCTGTAGAGAGTGCACAGAGTCCTGTGATAAACACTCCAGTGAATCTTACCAAACCCTCTGTAAGAATGGCTAGATGGTGTTTTAATTTTGGATATTCATAAAAGGAAATTTTAGAATCTACATAGAAAGGGTGGTAGGTCTGGATAGTTTTAGGCACTATAAATCAGAGGACAACACAAGAAGGAAAAAGACTCATGGTAACTCAATGGGTGAGAAGGAACTCTCCCTAGGGGCTTGACTTCAGTTCCTAGAGCCCCGAAAGCTGGCTCAGACTGTCCTTAAAGTAAGCAAGCGCCATGGACAGCTTCAGTCCCTGCTCGCTGCTCTCACCCTCTAGATTGATGAGGAATGTCCCTGTGAGCTCAATCCCATCCGCAGCTCTCTCCCGTGGCTCCTGAGCCAGCAGTGTTGTCTGGGAGGCCATCATTAGTTCATTCAGCTGAGACGTGCTTGAAGTCTCCTCAGCTTGGAGCATCTGGAATGCACGTGAAATCACTGTTCAATTCACATCTCACCATCAGCTTTAGTTTTTTACTGGAGTATACACTTTGCTTCACTTTGAAAACTATGGCTCCCCTCAAATCTAGATCTATATGGTGTTTATTAGATTTAGTTTGCAACGAGTAAGAGGTTAAGTTACCCAAAATTCTGCCAACTTTTTAAGAGCCTCCTTCCTCTACTAGCTAAAATACTGTAAATAACAAGGACCTGCTTTCAGTGCAGCACACAGTGGCAATCTGAATACCACAGCCTTTCCACAGTGACAGGGCCAGCTGATAAGCACTTTCAATATTTTTTTCCTTTGTAATTTTGATTTTCAAGATGAGTTTGTGAATTAAATATTACTTTAAAAATGAAAGAACATGAGACTCAGACAATTTGGCACATGAGCATGCATGTATGCAGGGGTGGGGAGGTGGGGTAGCTGTCAGGATAATGAGCACGTGTGTATGCAGGGGTGGAGAGGTGGGGTGGCTGTCAGGATGATTTGCACGGATGGAGAGGTGGGGTGGCTGTCAGAATGACAGCAAACCAGAACTAGGCTGTACAGCATACCACAATGGCCATCATCTATTCTTACCATTGCCAACAATGTCATATATTGTAGTGACTTCAAGTCTCAATTCTTTAAATGTTTAAATTGAGTTTATCAACCAAAATAAGATGGTTCCTTTTATTTGTAGAGAGTTAAGATATTTTATGTGCATAAGTGTTGCTGTTTGTATATATATGTACTACATGCAGACCTAGGGCCAAAAGAAGGTGTTGGATCCCCTGAAACTTTACTGAAATGTAGATGTGGGCCACTAGGTGGATGCTGGGAACTGAAGCCAGGTACCCCACTGGATTAGCAAGTGCTTTTAACTGCTGAGCCACCTTTCCAGCCCCAGACTGACACTAATAAAACTTAAAAAAAAAAAAATGCTCATTGACAGTCCTTTTCTTAAGAATTTGAATTAGACACAAGGCTCAGGACAGTGCATTACACCTAACCAATTAGTCCCTAAGAGGCCCAAGGAGAACACTCTGATGGGACTTGCGGAAATTAAAACACGATGAAAGTCTGGAGGAATGTGTTGATCTGCTGTCCCTGGTTCTCATGAAATTAAAGAGAACTCAGTTTTGGTTCTTTTTGTTTTTTGAGACAGCCCTGGCTGTTCTGGAAGTCACTCTATAGACCAGGATGGCCTTGAATTCACAAAGATCTGCCTGCCTCTGCCTCCTGAGTGCTGGGATTAAAGGTGTGCACCACCACTGCCCATCAAGAACTCATTTTTGGAATATGACCCAGATAAAATTTTCAAAAACTCAGGCCTTTAGTGTAAAACTCCTGGTTTTCATGTAACCTGACACTTCTGCCAAGCATGTCTGGCATTGACCTCAATCGCCCCTGCATGTGTCCCAAGTTCAGAGCAGGGAACTGCCTGTGACAGTTCAGTGTTGCAAGACTGAAATCTGAGTTTCTAGATCAATACAAGGTCTTAGACATTTAAGAAAAAGAAATTTCAGGCAAAGCTTCAATGCTCCCACCATTTCAGAAGGGCATATTTCACACAACCCCATCCCTTACGCATACCTCCATGATCTCAAACAGTAACCCAGGCTCGATCACAATGATAACCTCATACTCGGCGGCATTTTTGCCAGGGATGCTGCCCAGAAAGGAATCTCTCATGGCACACGCACTCTCCACTGCCTCCTCCAGTCCTGGCTTCTTCCAGATAGAGCTTGTGTTAATCCAGCCAGTGCGAAAAACACTCTTGGGTTCTAAAAGAGAAAAAAGGGAAAGTGAACCAAGTTATAAACAGTCTAGTCAGCATATAAGCTTTAACCAATGGAGATTTTACTCATGAGAGACAGGGTTGTTACATGGGATGTGAAGTTCAGTGAACAAGTGTGCTGTTCTCAGGATCCACAAGTGAGAGGTACCCATTATAAATACATAAACATAAAAGTCTCAAAAACAATGCACAAGTATGAACACTTATTCCTCATGACTCCACCCAACATCCCCATAAATTCTAGCTTTCTATGGAAATAAAACCAGGAGGGGGGAAAAAAAACTAACATAAAAGTATTCACTAAAAAGCATTGTATTTTGCTTGAATACAGCTTAAAATACAGCCAGGCAGAGGTGGCTCACACCTTTAATCCCTGTACTTAGGAGTCAGAGGCAGGTAGATCTCTGAGTTCAAGACCACCCTGGTCCACAAAGTGAGTTCCAGGACAAGCAGAACTATACCGAGAAACATTGTCTCAAAAACAAGCAAAAAGTTATAAATACACTTTGGAACATTATAAACACATTTAAGCAAAAGTGATTTCTCAATATTGTCAAGTGCTTAATACATATCAGAAAGCAGAGGGGCAGCCCTGACTCCTGTAGGAAGGCTCACAGCAGACTAAAAGACCAATGAGTCTCATCACAATGACACTGCAGGTGCACTGCAGCCCAATTCCTGCCCCATCCCTTCCCATGCAGGGAGCAGCTGTCCTTACCTTTGACATAGGGGATGTGCTGGAATACCTCTTCTGCCAAATGAGGAAGAATTGGGGCAAAAGAACGGACCAACACGTCCAGAATTTCTGCTAGTGCGGTCTGACAGGAGCGTCGTTTGGGATCCTTCTGGCTTTCACAGTAGAGCCTGGAAGAACAGCCTCCTCAGCAGCTGACATACTCGCTGCCTGGCCTGGGCACACCAGGCTGACACTACGACTACTTCACGCTGCTTTTGGACGCTTCTCCTCTACCCCATTTTACTCTCTTAAGATGTACCTGTTTCGCCGGGTGCTGTTGGCACACGCCTTTAATCCCAGCACTCGGGAGGCAGAGGCAGGCAGATCTCTGAGTTTGTGGCCAGCCTGGGTTATAGAGCAAGTTCCAGGACAGGCTCCAAAGCTACAGAAAGACCCTGTCTCAAAAAACCACAGGAAAAAAAGATGTACCTGTTTCCTCATGCTTTGTCCAACTCTGACTTTAAGGTGGACGACAGTCTAGACCACTGTTTGCACACAACCACTAAAGTAACTGGCAGCATTTAAGTGACCCCCATCCCCAATGGTGCCATTAGGGTTTTCAGGCAAAGAATGAGTTGTAAACCCTATGCCCAACCGCTGAGGTGCCGTGTGACAGGCTGGGGTTGATAGCTCATGCCAAACTAGTCACCAAGCCCTCTCCTTCCGCAGTTTGTGAGAGCATTGTGAAAGCCAGTGTCGTTACACAACTGGCTGTCTAGTCCTGGGTCAGCCCTCGAGGACAG